AATTTATAATTATGAGATAATGGCTAAAAGAACAAAATATCCCTATTTGTTTGAAAAAATGACTCTTTGCTCTGCCCAGGGTAGCTTCTGATCCAAGGGAGGTATTGATACTAGGGGATTGGAGAGGTCAAACACGGGACTTGTACTCAGCACCAATGCTCGGTTCTATGCAATCGTCAAACCACAGTGTGAAGAAACAAAACATGATGGATGTGTAGGGGTGGATTCTTATTGTATACTAGTATGCTGCATTTATATTTGATTTGAGTTGCTTCTTTCCAAATGCTTTCTTGTATAATGATTATGATCGAATATAATAAAATCAGAAGGGAATTTAACAACTATTTTGAATTGGAAGTTGTTTGTTTGTCTTCTGAAACAAAAGTAACTTTTCAAGCCTATCTGATCTGAATAGCTGCATCATCTCATGCGTGGCTTCAATTATAATGTGACATGCCTCCGGATGAGCCATGTTAATGAACAAGCAAGTTCAAGGTCTTGACTAAGGTACTCTTATTGCCAATGGAGTCTATTAAAAGCTAGGGCCTATTGAACAGCTTAAATGACTGATATACTATGTTATCGGTTATAATGGATGGAATTGTGGCAAAACTGGTATTTTATTATTGGCTATAAGAATGCTGTTATTTCCAAGGAAAGACTTATTATTTTAATTAAGTTAAATTGTTAATTAACTTGTTTATAATTGAAAATAACAAGTTTTTGCTGAGAAATAATAAGTTCAGTATATGGATTTAATAAATTTATAATTAAAAATAACAAGCTAACTTAATCGAAAAGCTATATTGGTTTTTTGTTATTGACCGTTGAAAATATTTTTATTTTCAACGTAAGACTTGTTATTTCAACTAAGCTAAGTTGTTATAATTGAGTTGATGAAATAAAATTATACTGTAACTGATAATTTGATTAAAAGTAAATTCTTATTGCAAGTTACTATAAAAAATGAATTGTAATAACAGGTCATGCTCCAGAAGTTCATTTAGATATGAGACAACTAATTTATTAATGTATATAGGCTCTACTCTTCTAAATTTTTGTAACTTGGCACTCACAAGTTGTTATTTGGCATGTAAGAGCAATTTCTAGTAAAATTTAAGTTATTGTAAATATATTTTCAATATTTGTTATTTTTCATATTAGACTTGTTATTAACATCTAAATTGTGGGAATGATTTTAATTTCTACTAAAACTTAAATTATTGTGAATAATTTTTCAACACTTATCATTTTCTATACTAAACTTGTAATTGACAACTAAATATTAGAAATAATACCAATTTTTATTAAAATTTAAATTAATGTGAATAATTTTTAACACCTGTTATTTTTGACATACAAGTGAGAGGAATATTTATATGGGTCCGAGATTTGCATTGATAAGTGTAATAAATGGATATTGATCCATAGAATGTCAAACACATGTTCTTTTTCACAATGATGATCTTAAGGGTATGTTTGGCTCAATGAGAGGAAGGGGAAGGGAGAGATTTTAATGGAGGGAAGGGAAGGGGAGGGGAGTGGAAGGATTTTAATATTATCTTGTTTGGATTTATAAAAAAGATGGGAGGGGAGGGAAAAATATTTTAATATGGACAAATTTGCTCTTATTTTATTTAAAGCGTGGGCATAATGGTCACAACATGACAAAATATAGACATAATGGTCACAACATGACAAAATATGAGCATAATGATTATAATATAACAAAATATTGCTCTTTCCCTCCAAATCCTCCCAATTTTGGAGGGGAGGTTGAGGAGGGGAGGGGAGGGGAAATTTAAAAAAATTTTCCCTCCCCTCCTAAAATTTGTGTATTGCCAAACAAGGGGAAATGATTAAAATCCCTCCCTTTCCCTTCCCTCCTTCCCAAATCCCTCATACCAAACACACCCTAAGTGACCCCATGATTCTGTTTCTTTTTTTCTTTTTTATAAACTATCTTACCCTATTCGAACTTTTGTTCCTTTTTTTCAGGTGTCACTAATTTTTGTTATATGAACTTGATTATACACACACATACATGTATATCTCCATAGTACATCGTAGTGTTATGACACATGATGAATTACAGGCAAAAATTGAGCCTGATGCAAGGTAGCCAACTAGGAGGAGTTAGATCTTATTTAGAATTTGATTTACTTCTCTTTTCGTTTATTGGAAAGAATAAAAAGAAATTAAAAAACACCTCTCCTTTTCTATTCAAAAAAATAATAATAAAGAAAGTCAGTAATCATAGTAATTATTGTATTAAAAATATACAACAACAAAACCTTATTTTATTAAATGCGATGAGCTACATAGATTCTACCACGTTATTGAGGTTTATCAATGATCAAATTTCATATATGTTATTAATCAAAATGTTCTTTTTGGCATTCTTCTACTTTTTTTTTTAATAAGACTTTATATTGTGTGATCAACCATTCTCATTATTATCCAAAAACCTTTTTTGAACATGACTAAACCATCTCAAATGATTTTCTATCATTTTTTTTGCAATAGAAGTCACTCCAATTTCTTTTTGTACATATTTTCATTTTATGACTATACATTTACCTCAGCATTTTCATCTTGACTACCCCACTTTAAACTCATGTTGTATTTTTAAAACCCAATATTTACTACTCCAATCTTTAATATATGATCTAATTGTTGAGTTGATTTTGGTCCTAATATAAGACCTATTTCTCATATTCATCAATTTTTTTTAAATTATCCTTATGGATACTCCCTCAACCATAATCAAGTAGAAAAGGGAGGGAAGATATTAAGAAAGATTATTATAGTATTTTAGAAAAAACATATCATATTTTTTATAATTAACTAACTTGCATAACTTCTTTAATCTAATCAAATTAGTTAAATAAGTCTTATATTAAGAATCAAATAAGTATCATATAGCATTGTGGGCTACATGGTACATATTATTCACCTTTTCTCTTAAAGGAAAATTAATGCTTTCTAGTCTGGTTTTAGAAGTCTTCTGTGAGTTCTCTTTTTCCGTTTTGGTCTCATGACCCATTTTCAATTTTTTTAAAAGAAACCCAATAACTAATATTAATATTATTCATAAAAAGGAATAAGATAGCTCTTCTCAATTGCTGTGCAGTTTATTATTCTTTTTTATCTCCACGGGTTTTGTACACTATTTTTAATCTTTCAATATTTTCTTACCATTTGAACAGATTTTAAATGTTAAAAAAATAAATACAACCTCTTTAAAACAAGATAGGAACCGAGTCATTCTAGCTATATTCCTTTGGTTTTTAAGTTAGTTAATTATCAGAAATATAACATGTTTTTTCTAAAACACTATAATTATCTTTATTAATATTCTCTCTCCCTCTCAAACTTAATTATGATTAAAAGAGTGTCAATAAAGATAATTTAGAAAAATTAATAAATATGATAAATATGTTTTATATTTAGGATCAAAATCAATTTAATAATTAGGTCATATATTAAATAAGAAAAGAGTACATATAAATAGGTCCGCCACTCGCTTGAACGTGTCCCAGAAAAGACAAGATGGCCGTCACTGTAATTTCCAAACGAGTTCATATAATTAGCTTAGATTAGTTTGGACAAAATTTTGCCAAGGCTTGCGCCTTCAGGCAGATGAATCGTCCATCAGCATTCACTAATGCTTGACGAACAAAACAAGAATGTTCTGCTGCTGAGGAATGATTGATTCATTTAGTTTTCACCGCTGCCTATGGGAATAAATATTGCCCAGTTGGGAATTATTACTACACTCGGCGCAGAAAAATTGCCTCCTATACGTTATTTTTCATTTCATCTCTTTATCTTTGATTTCTGCTAACTATGAACTTCCACATTCAGTTATTAATACAAAAACTAGTTTGATATTTAATTTTGTTTTAAATATAAAACCACAATCTATTTTGTCTCTTATATTTATCTATTTTTTCTCAAGATAATCTTTGCAATAGTTACATATGTTAAAAGTTTTATAAAATGGTAATTCTAACTAATACACATGATTAGCAAAGTTATTTTAGAAAATACAATACATATTTATTGTTTATTATGAATAATTAATTTAACTAATTTTTTAAATCTATTTAAATTAATCAACCAGCTCTAATATTAAGGATTGGATGTAATAATGCTTGGACACTTCTTTTTTTCTAAGCACAAGTATTTTCTTATTGAAAACAATTCTGCTCTAGATACTGTCTTATACTAAATATTTAAACATTTCTAAAACTACGGTTTTGACAACCAAAACTTTTGGGGAAAAAAAACCAAGACCATGCTTTCCTCAATTTCATTCAAACACCCATATTTGGATTAAAATCAAACATGAAACCTTCAACCAAACACTCATATGAGAGGGATACAGTGGGTTCTACATGTCAATGGGACCCACTATAACAAAAACAAAAACAACAGCACAAGATATCTACTTAGAATCTTATCAACATTGAATCCTTTTTTTTTTTGGGTGAAATTATAAACATTAAGTCTGTACTAATGTAGACTATGATAAAATTCATATTACCTACAATGTAATTAAATACAAATCCTTAGTAAAAAGTAATCAAGAAAACTTTGCAGTCATCTCCCTATTCTGCTTTCTTCCTGTACTTTTTTTTGTTAATATAATCTTTAGTCTTTTAAGTTTATCCTTATTTTGATATGAGGTTCCTCAAGTGTCAAACCGTATGTTTTGGTTCTCAAGGAACAAAATGATATAAGTTTTTATTAGATTATATTGTTATAGATGAAAAGAAGCTTGAGGAATCAAAACTTATTGTTTGAAACTTGAGAGACCAGAACTAAAATAATAACAAACTTGAAGGACCAAAGTTTGTATTAACCCCCTTTTTTTTCTTAATTTATTGAAAATGTCCATGAAGAACTTAAATTTGAGTACTCCTAGGCATACGCTTCATGAGCAACGATAACACCTCCAAAATCCTTCCCCAAATATCCATTCCGATAGTGCAATATCACACCTAAGATTTACAAGTTAAAAAGTTACATTCATTACACAAAATTCTGGTTCGGAAAAATATAAGTACAAAACCGCATGCAAATTGATACAAACCTGAGCGTTTTCTGATTTCAATCTTTTAATCTGTTCCTGGTCACTTCGGAGCCTACATATCACAAAACCAAGGTTTAAGACCTATTTGACATCATATCAAATAATCGTGTATCTTAAACTCATAATACAACACCTCTTATTCAACTCAGTTATTTCATGAAGTAGCTCTTTCTCTCTCTCGTGAGATGCTTCAAGCTGCAGTAGTGCATAAACCAATATCTCCCGTTGAGTAATACAGGGAAAGGTGAATATCAAGTCATTTAAGCAAACTCAGAAAATATTAAAAAGGCATAGTTCCCAAGAAGTGAAGGGAAATTATCTTTGGAAGGTAAATACATAGAGCGTGTATCCCATTGCAAGTCCAAAGGACAGTCATGCTAATTTATAGCTGCAAGAATGTTTCATGATGGCTAGCACAATCAATATTTGCAAACACTGAGAACAGTAATCAAGGAGCCAAGAGGCTGCTCTTCTTTATGTGTCTCACAGTTAAATGATCTAGCACGCCAGAAAGAACAGCATAAAGTTGAGCAATTTAATTGACTGGCTATAATTGTTAGTCCACTCAAGGTTTGAATTAGAAATTTTTCCTCCGCCTGATGGAGACAACCTGAACCCCAGGAACCTTATCATATGCCTAAATTGGAATCTGTTACAAGTGTAATTGACTACTCAACTCTTTTTCAAATGCGTTTTCTCGTTGAAGTTCTTTGATTTCAAACCTAAAATCAGTTAGTGTCACTATCCAAAACCGGCTTCAAACTTCCTTATACCGTAGCCAAGCGCTGATAGTTCTCAGCCAGATACATCCTCATATAGAGTTAAATGATTTCTAATGCTATTTGCCATTAAAATTCATACCAAAGATTTCTCCATTGCCGAAGCCGGTGATTGGTTAGATGCTCCATCAACTGCACGATTGACAGATATGATAATCTAAAAATTATGTACATAAATAGAAACCTTACAAAGGAAAAGATCTGAAGAAAACTTCAAATAAAAGGAACCTGTAGAGTCACCAGCGGTTACATGTTTCATTAAAAGCAAGATAGTGTCCTATATCAAAAGAAAAGTAAGATAGTGTCACCTTATTTTTGACGTATATAAAGGTAGTTATTATGGATACTAGCTGCAGGAGTTAGGACCATATGAATATGATTGAACATACCCTTTGTTCGATATTTGCTTGCAGCACACAAAGCAATAATTGGTAAAGCGAAGAACCAGAAACATTTGTTGGTGTAGCCTGGGATGTCGTTGATAGTGGTAAAATTGAAGGTAGAGGAGTTACATTGTGCGAGCTAATAACCTACAGGAACCAGGTAAACGTAAGATGTTCAGTTAATTAGAAAGCCATGTCTGCTTAGATATTGGTATGTGATGCTAACTCAACTTCATGTTAAGAGGAGGTTTTACTCATTTAGGTATAAACATAAGCTGCAAATCAGACTCCATTATTGCCTAAGCCAAATGTAAATTGAAAAGGGTTACTCATTTGGTCATTTTATCCTAGTGGGAGCTGAGTTTTCTCTATAAAGCTGAAGAGGTTAGTGAACTGGATGTTGATGAACATCTAATAATATTTTCACATATATCTATCACTGCTTTCGGACATGATAGACCGAGAGAACATGGCAATTGAGGTATCCGAACGGCCTGTTTTGATCGAAATTTAGTAATGCATGATGCAAAAAACTAACCTGCATGCTTTGACTCTTTTGCAGAATAGGAGTTGGGGCCACCTGAAAGAAAACTTCATTTATTATTTAGTCTTAAGGAAAGTCGCGTCATCTACATCAGGGTATTCACCTTTTCTAATTCAACATTCTCAGATGTAACCTTAAAACGTCCTCTCTGCTGAACAACTGGCACCTTTACTTTCTCATCAGTGTCGTCCAAATTTGCAGCTGCATATTACCAAAAAAGTAAAGAGAGAGATTTAGCTGCTGCAAGGACATATTTATTTTTAATAAGACACGGGAGTCATTTTTGCATGGCTCATGAGCTGCCAGTTAGATGAAAGAGAAAATAGTTTGTGACATTTCCTTGAACTTGACAATCAAGTCATGTGACCAGTGGAGTAATATGATCATGTACCTTCTCCTGACTGTGGTACTGTTGTTGCACTGCAACTTGAAACGCTATGGGACAGATTATGTATCTTCTCTCTGTCATTCATATAATAAATAAGCGTGAATAATGATAATACAACTGACCATTGTCAATTCTCACCTGTAAATCAATGGAAACACCACTTATTCGACACAGTTTGTCAAAAGCCAGTAAAATAAGGCATAAGAGACCGTTTCCCAAATTATTGACGAAGGTAAAATTCATGATTTAAATTTCTATGGGATTCTGTAAATGAAATCATTTACATGAAAAAAATGACAAGATATTTTGTCGAAAGTTCTTTTTCATTAAAACTCAATTACATTGAATTTTATCAACTTTCCTTCGCAACATCAACAAGAGTATATAATAACTATCTGATACCTGAAAGGCAGAAGCATACTACCAATGATGCACAAAACCATTCAAATTAAGAAGCCAAAATGAAGAAATAAATAATCTTAATTGAATATGATAATCTTATTTATTAAACCTGAAATCTTGTAGTAAAAAAAAATCTGAAATCTATGATAAATACTCCTTTCTCCGTTTGTTTCTGAATATAATATAGCAATGAAATGAACACATGCAGTGGCCATAAACACCAAATTGAGCAGCATAAGATATCGCCATGTTCGCAGTACTTAATTAGAGTAGTTTAAGGTTTGAAGCAAGAATGAAACGAATATATCTTTCTTAGGTACTGACTCCAATGAAAAGAAGAAAGATAAAGCAGTCCAGTCTCTTGAAATTAAGTTCGTGTAGCCAGAATAAGGAGCATATGAAGCTCGGTCAAATATATATAGGGCATAACCAGAAACATCGTAAGACATCCAAGCCAAGGCAGCACGAGATTGATAGATCAGCACCCAAATGTCCAGCACAGACATGATGCTAATGACTATTGCAACAATCTAATGCAATTTTATAAAATGAAAAGATTTAGTTGAAACATTTACATTTCCCCACGAGCAGGTGTGTGAGTAACTTCAGGTAAGATGCTTGATGAACATCTTCTGTGGTAAGAATGAGTAGGCTCCACCTGTCTTCCCCCATTCTCCATATCACATTTTTCACTAAAATTATGGTCCACTACATGATCTTCAAGACGCGGTGAAGCACTCTGTGATAAGTTGTGTTCATGGCTTAAACTGGTGATAGAGGCATCATTAGATTTTTCACTTCTAACCCTGGATTGAAAAGATATGATTAATTTATTAGCCCCTTGCTGATTCTAGAAGTGAAAACAAAAACAAAAACCTTAGGCACAGGCAAAAGCCTGCGATGTTCTCAAAACTCTTACAACATGATTTCCATAAAATAATTTACTGCATGTATTATCATACTTGGCATCAGTTGTTGTGAAATCTACTGCAGGCACAGGAGCTGATTGATTTCGCATCTCGTCGTTATCTTCCTGTGAAGCATTGCTATTAGAAACTACTCAAAGAAAATATTATTCTGCTTGCAAGGTAGAAGAGAAAAACAAGGGGGAAAACGAATATTAAGTGCGGCAAACATTTTCCAGCTGCATTGAAAAATTTATGAATACCATGTCAGTAAGTTGAGATTGGTTTGCACGTGGTGATTGCTTCTCTTGCACATCATTTGGTGATGTGGAATTCGAACTTCCTCCTGGATTGATTTCAGACATTGCATCATCAAAATCCTGTATCTAAAAGACATAAAAAATACTTTTAAAATTCAGGAATCACAACTTCATTGTGAGAGAAAAGATAAGGTAGCTTGGGTACCAATGAAGCCTGAGCTTTCATATCTTCAAGATTGAAGTTCCAGCTACTAATTCCTCGCTTGTATTCATTCTACACAAAAAGTCAAAAATAATTTTGTTGAGTGTTTGCTTGCTTGCTTGCTGATAAGACAAAAAAACAGACACACACACACACACACTACCTGTGATATTTCCTCCTTCTGCCCATCAGGAATTTGTTCTTTTGCAAGCATATCTTCTTCTTTCCTCTGCAATAGAATGACAGCCCTATAAAATATTATACAACATGGAAGCATGAAAAAATTATTAGGCAACAATATGCAACCTTTAGGGCTTTGATGCGATCACCTAATGCAGGCAGCCCCTCCAAAAGCGTTCGCGAAATATAATCACTAGAGCGAGCTCGCTTAAAGAAGGAATTCTTTAGCAAACTGCTTGCAGTGGGTCGTTTTGAAGGATCTTTTTCCAAGCATTTAGCAATCATCGTCCTAAATGACTGACAACATAGAAGAAAGATTTCAGGATAGAAGGGGAAAAATGGGTTCAAGGATCAAACCTTATTGAAAACGGAAACATAGGACGTAGTTTTAGTATATATTCAAAGTAAGCCGACCTGAGAGAACTTCTTATCTCGTTCATAATCAAGGCCAGGCGGTGCATTTTGCAATGTCATAAGAAGTACCTGAACATGTAGAAGGTTAAATTCCTGAAAACATCATTCAGGGTTCAATGAGAAAGGTTCCTGTCTTAGTAAGCACACCTTCATGGGAGGATACTTTGAGAAAGGAGCGTGACCATGGGCAAGCTCCAGTGCTGTTATACCAAAAGACCACATATCTGCTCTGCAATTACAAGAGTACGATTTCCAACTGAATGTTACCACCAGGAAGTGTGACAAGAAGGGAAAAATATATAATTATCATAATCACTGACTTGAAGTCGTAACCATGCAGTTGCTCCATGACTTCAGGTGCCATCCTGCGACCAAAATGTTATACAGTTTATTTCCAACACTCATGATCATAGATAAGCTATTATATGACATGAAAAAAGAAGAAATGGCAACAGACTCAATGCACATGTGTATATTGACTACATAAAAATTGGGCAAATTCGGAGATAAAATCTGCGAATGCATCAACTTCCAGCAGTTCAAGAGAATCATTTTGAATATCAACAGAACAACAAGTTACCAAAAAAAAAAAACTCAGATCATACCAGCAAGGTGTCCCCACAAATGTATTCCTTGTACGTTGCCTGTCACCTGAATCAAAAAGACAAGCAGATACACCGAAATCCCCCAGCTTGATTGCACCGCGCGCATCAATTAGAATGTTCCCGGCCTATAGAAGCAGATACAAGTTGGTCGAAGGCAAGAACCTAAAACTACTATAATATTGGCCACAAAGCAAGAACTTTGAGTCAAATGCATGTAATTCTTTTGACCTTCAAAATTTTAAAATGGACCCCAAACTGTATTTTCTGTGTTTATCCTGCTGTCAATAAACCAATTAATTTACTATCGCATGAGTGACGTGTAAATTAAATAAACCACAAAAAATATTTGTTTTTGTACTAATAACTCTCCAATGTGCAAGAGAGAAAAGGGGGGTGGGGGAGAAGGCAGAGGAAGAAAAGCTAGAGGTCAGAGAGTAAGAAATAAAAACAGAGGAGTTTATGCAGAAAACAGAGGGAATAAAAACTGAGTAGTACAGTTTATATTGTCACATGAATAAAAAATAGAGGAATAGTTCCGTATATAGAGTCACTAAAGATCCTAACCGCTATAATCCTAACTATTATTTCTAAGAAACTCTTAGGGTCAACTTTCGTATATGATGTTATTATTATATAACAGTGCCACACTTTTGATAGTAAAATAATGAATTCTTTGAAGGCAGGCAGTTATTTGTACTTAGCCTCTAGTTCGAGGGGTTAGCTTCAAGGTCTTGAAGGTCGGAAAAATTATACGCATATGGCCTAAA